AATTAACAAAGAAAAGGAGAACATTTTTTTTACATTGGCTTGATTCTATAAACATATCCATTTTCATGAACTACTTTTCCTATATGTCTAATCATAAAGAACTATACAGTAGCTCAACAAAAATCATGCCTACCAGTAAATTGGTCTGATTCAATTGATTCCATTACCCAACTTGTCTTTGAAATTCAAGTTATTGATATAGTATTGCTGTATGCCCATAAGATAGGTAAAGTCAAGGGAGTTTGACTTAGTTGTGCTTGTAAAGGACTAAAATAATCCTCATGCTTTTGCTTATTTCATTTGTTCTCTTTTGCTTGATATGCATTATGATCTCACTCACTTCCATTACTGTAAATCCAACTTTTATCTGTCCTTCTTAAACCTTTACCTTCTGGCCTCTTCCTCTTCCAACAAAAAACAAGCTGAAGGTTATTTTTTACTCCCTTGATTTTATTAATTAGATTTTGTTCAGAATCCTCTGGCATTTATCATATGCTCTCTCACAGTGTTTATTATAGCATGTCTTTATTTCCTATATCAGACTGTAAGGCATTTGCCATTTTAGTTGTCTTGATGTGAGCCTCTTTGAATTCATCTTGTTTGAGACTCTCTGCATTTCCTGAACTTATGTGTCTTTTTCCTCCACCAGGTTAGGGAAGTTTTCAGTCATTATTTCCTCAAATGGGTTTTTGATGCCTTGCTCTCTCTCTTCTCATTCTGGTACTTCTATGATTTGGATGTTGTCCCAAAGGTCCCTTAAACTATCCTCATTTAAAAAAATTTTTTCTTGCCCTCTCCAGGTGGCTCAGTTGGTTGAGTGTCATCCTATATGCCAAAAGGTTGTGGGTTCAATTACCAGTCAGGGCACATACCTAGCCTGTGGGTTTGATCCCCAGTCATGGCATGTACAGGAGGCAACCAATAGATGTTTCCCACATTGATGTATTTCTCTCCCTCTCTCTCTCTCTAAAATCAATAAAAACATATCCTTGGGTGAGGATTAAAAAAGTAAATAAAAATAAAATTCATTTATCTTCTCGCTGCTCTGATTGGGTGTTTCCTGCTACCTTGTCTTCCAAATCACTGGTTCCATCCTCTTCTTCATCCAATCTACTGTTTATTCCTAGTGTATTCTTCATTTCAGATATTGTATTCTTCATTTCTGACTGGTCCTTTTCTATGGTTTCCATGTGCTTTTTCATGCTGTTGTAGTTCTAAGTTCCTTGAGCATCCTTATAACCATTTTTTTGAACTCTATGTCTGATAAATTGCTTGCCTCCATTTAGCTCTTTTCCTGGAGCTTTCTCCTGTTCTTTCATTTAGGACATGTTTCTTTGTCTCCCCATTTTGGCTTCCTCTTTGTGTTTTTTTCTATGTATTAGGTAGATCTGCTATGACTCTCAGTGTTGGTAAGATGGCCTTGATACAGATTCAAACGCGGTAGGTGTCCTGTGTGACCCAGTGGCACAGTCTCCTAACCACTTGAGTTGGGTACTCCAAGAGTGTCCCTTGTGTGTGTTATGTGGGCCCTCCTGTTGTAATTGAGTCTTGATTGCTATTGACCCATTTGTGCATGGGGGTCAACCCTCAGGTTGGCTGGCTGTGAAGATAAACCCTGCCCACAGTGTACAAACTGCTGTGCTGTGGTGCTGACCACATGAAGTGGAATTCACCTCAGCATGGCCTGATGCCTGCCAAGATCTCCCTTTGGATGTGCCACGTAAGAAACTGATTGGACCCTGCTCTGATGACGTCTGAAGCTGGCCACTGGGTGTGTGGGTTCTGGGGCCTCTTGGGAGGGACTCTGGTGTAGGCCAATGCCAGATGCTGCCTGTGACTGGCCCTTGGCAACCTGTTTGACCTAGTTTGTGGCTGCCTCTGCCAGGCCTGAGTGTGTGTGGGAAGGACGAACCTGTGCACCAAGGCTGGCTTTTAACAACACGAGGCTCAGAAGCAGACCAGCTAAAGCCCCAAGGTACCCTGAGATCCACCTCTGCCTGCTGGCTGCCTATTAGGCTCAGTAATGGAAAGAGCCTCTGATGGTACTCAAGTTGCATGTGGTAGGTTCTCAGTAAGTCACCATGTAGGGGCTACTGGTATTCACCAGACTGATACAGGTTCAAACTTGGTGCCAGTGCTGGGTCTGAGGCCACTAGACAAATGTCCCAGGGTATGCCAAGTCTAGTTGCCACACTCTGGGCACTCTCACACCTTTGTAGTGGGGTGAGGGTCTCAGGGAGTCATCAGGGTGAGGCCAGCAGAGCTTATCATGCCGAAACAGATCAAGATTTGGCCCTGTGAAGGGAAGGCTCTGTACCAGTAGGGCATGTGAGGGAAAAATGGCCCCAGTATCCCCAGTATTAGAGCCACACAGCTAAGTCTGTCTCAGATTCTGCCAGAAGCCTGATCTCAGCAGGGCAGGGCCACTGGGAGTCAGGAGGGTGGGACTAGCGCATCTCTTGTT